CCGCTCCGGCCCTGCCGGTCCCGAGGACACGCGGCGCTTGGAGCTGAGCTTCACAGCCAACGTCTCAACCTCGTTGGCCACCTCAGCGGTGCTGGAGGTGGAAACCCATGAGACCATAGGTCGGGGGGCCAGGAGAGCCCGGGGGCTGGAGGAGGAGTGCAGGAAGAGCGATGGGAAGTGTTGCCTCAAGTCGCTCAAGGTCTCCTTCCAGGACATCGGCTGGGCGGACTGGGTCATCGCCCCCAACAGCTACTACATGAAGTTCTGCGAAGGTTCCTGTCCCCACAATTACAAGCCGGCCAGCATGCACGCCCAGATCAAAGCCCGTATGCACTCCCTCTCCAAAGCCACCCCGCCGCCCTGCTGCGTCCCCGCTGGCTACGACCCCATGGTGCTGATGCACTACGACGATGAGGGCAGGCTGGTCTCCACCCTCTTCGAGGACATGCTGGTCACCCAGTGCCACTGCGCCTGATGGCGCGCCTCCGGCTCGGACCGGCACCCATCACACCCCCGGATGGGGCAGAGCCTGCCCACCTCCCAGCAGCTCCGGCACCCCAAAAACCAGATCCCGCGTCACAAAATGCCTCCACGCTGGCTCAGCCCTGGGTCCAGCCCGCCCGACGGATGGGATCCCTCAGGGGTCTCTGGTTGTGAGCAACCCCCTTCCACGATAACTTATTCCCGCCTGTCTTTCCTTATTTAAAACCGTGTTTTATTTGGTAGGTGGATCCTTTCCCCAAACGGACCGGGATGGGTCTGTCCATGGGCGGCCACAGCCCTCCCCATGTCTGAGCACCATCTCTTCTCTCCTTAGAGACTTATTTATACAACCCTCTTATTTATTTCTAACTTATTGTATTTTATAGCAAAATACCTTTTTTTCGGGAAGGTTTGTTGGTTGGGTGGGGTTTTTTGGGTGTATTTGTACTTTATATATTTCTATAAAACAGAAATATTGTAATAATGTAATTGAAATAAATGATGGGAACAGGGATGCTGGTTGCTCCTCCTGCACAACCGGGCGGGTGTCTCCGATGGCATGGGGTGAGCAGGGACCAAAGTCCCACCACTGGTCCACTTTACCCAGGGGATCCCTCAGCTCCCCTCCGCAGGCGACTGGCCCGGAGCTGACTCCGTACGGATTTGCTGGTAAATCCTGATGGCTTTCTAGGGCCAGGCCAGCGCCATCCCTGCCCTGCCAGCAGTGCCGGGGCAGGTGAGTAATGCCTGGGCGATGCTCCCAGAGACCTTTGAGTTGTTTGTGTCCTTGAGATGGGTGCTGGGTGCAGCCTTGACCCCCTGGGCAGGACATCCAGCCAGGACACGGATGCTGCCCTATTTCCAGGTACTTCTGGCCGTGGGACCCCCTGTGGGCACCAAGGGGTGGGGGAAACCCCGGCTCCCCTGGGCTCTGCCACTGCGGAGGTTGGTGGCACACCCCGCGTCCCCGAGGGACTTGCCACAGCTGGATGGGATGGCACTGGTGGTCACAGCTCCTCTCTGTCCTGTTCCCTCTTCCAGCATGTCCTGGGGGTGTCCTGGGCTGCCCGGCCCCTCAGCAGCTCCCAGTGGGGACCTGGGCTTGAGGGAGGTGGGATATGGGGACCTCCACTCTGGGGATGGGGCTTTGGGGACCTGGGCTTGAGGGACATAAGCTACGGGGACCTCCACTCTGTGGACATGGACTTGAGAGACCTGGGCTAGACTGGCATGGGCTCTGGGGACCTGTCCTTGAGGGTGCTGGTCCCTTGGGACCCCTGCTCTGGGAGCTCCAGGGACTTCCAGGGACATCCAGCCTCAGGCAGCTCCTTCGGGTTAATGTTTACAGCTGCCCCTGTGCTACCGACACCCCTTATCGGGGCTTCCGGTGCCATTAACAGATAACGAACCACGGCTCTGCTTGGCTGGTGCCACCCTGCTGCTGCCAGAG